GACTGCTTCTACTGAAAAATTCATGGAATTTATAGTTTTGTTTTAATGTTCACTTGAAAGCATTTGGATAATTGCACGCTCAGATGATGGTGTGTTTAAAAGGGTCTTTGTACATGGCAGGACAGAGAGGTTAACAATGGAAGCAGTGCTGGGATGTGTCCTGGCATTCCACAGCCCTTGGTTCCTGCTTTGGCCAGGCTCAGGAGAGTGACCTGGCAGAGAAAAGGGTTAAATAAAAATAACATTGCTGCAGAGGGGCCGAGGAGATGCAGCGTGAGCGCCGCTATTTCTGTTCTCTGACGTGTGCTGTGGAAGTGGGCTGATAGCAGAGCTCAGTGAGCCCCTGAGCAGAGAGAAATTTAAAAGGCAAAAAGATTGGCTCCATCAACTAGCCCAGCTGCTGCTAGTGCAGAAACTTGCCTTGTCTGGGCAAGTTTTACTGACCCCAGTCTCTGGCTTCTGTCTCTTGCCTGGAGATGTTTTTGTGGCATAACTGTTCCTCCTCTTTCCCCTACTAGTGCATTTTTGGTGTGAGTCTCCTTTCTCCTCCTCCTTGGCTCTTGAAAGATTTCTGGGAAGGCTGTCAGTTGTTTCTTTTTGCCGCTGAGGGAAGGAGGTGGAGGAAGGCAGTGTCATTTTGGAGCCACGGACAGGGAGAGAGGGCAGGACAGGGAGAAGTGTGAACGCTGCAACTTGGGCTGATATTTCTGTACTCTGTGCTAAAATAACCTCATTCTGCTAGCAGGCAAATACTGATGTACCTGGCATCTGCCAGGAGTCCCTCCCCAAACCTGTGTGAAAGGTGCAGTGATACACTATAATTTTGATGTTCTAACAGGCATAATTGTTCCTGAAAGAGTGCTGTTTTTGTTTAAAGTAAGCTCCTTGTTACTGCAGGGGCAGCTCTTTGTATGTAATCCACGGCTTTTCTTTTATTAATGCCATGTTGTATCACAATCTGAAACCAAAACTGGCCACTGCTTTTGTTCCTTTTTCAGCTGATAGTTGTCTCAAACAGTCTCTCAGCCAGTCAGTTTTACTTCTAATACAAAGACATTATTCAACCCCCCTCCCAATTTAATCCTCTATGTCTCCCATCTGAACCCATACAGCGCATGAATAGAATGTCAGTTGCTCACAAATCCATTGCTGTGCAGGCTTTTATATAAACAAAGTCCTAAGGATAAGCAAATGCCTTCCTTCTAATTAGCAGCATGTTTTGTGGTTCCATACATTCCAGTATGTAATAGACAGCTCTGGTGCCTAAAATAATCCCAGGGAAAACACTTGTATGCTGTGAAGATTGGGGTGGGAGGGAGAGGAGGCAGGAAAAAGTGTTGTCTGTGTTCTTGGAAGCCTTTTCTCTCTTCATTTGGACACTGTCAGCTTCTTTTACACAAACATTACAGCATCCAAGGGGAATTAGAAATACTTACCCATGACCACATCAGATTTTAGGTTTGTAAGGAGAAAGCAATGCAGAAGCAGGACCTTGGTCCCACTGCTTTCATTTTGGTTTCAGCATGCTGATAAATGCCTCCTAATGCTGGAAAGAGGTAAGGCTGACTGTCTAGGTGGAATACAGGAAATTTAAAAGTCTTACCTCATAGGTTAGAAATGGGTTTTGGATCTGTAAAAGAGCTGTGTAAGTCCAAAGTAACAGTTATTGTCTGTTGTGGTGTCTCTAAAGTTACACAGCAGCTTCCCTTTTATTACCAGTCTGTTATGAAGTGGTTTGGGACCATTGGGACACAGAGACAAAAGTGGGATGCTTCTGGTCAAATGACTCTAAACTGAGATAATAGTGGTCAAATTGAGCCTTTTAACTTCAACAGGGTTTTTTTGTGAGTCAGCTTATCCCAACAGCAGTGGAAATAGGAAAGGCAATGGTTTTGGTTTGCATCCCAGCCTTTTGCACTAGTCTGGGCCATACCCAGTTCTGGGGCCTCACTAACCTGTGTAGGGCTGAACAATTGAAAGTCTGTAAGCTCAGGAGCTAAAGGCCAGAGAACCAAAGGGCAGAAACAACAGCTGACCATGGGGCTTTTTACCCATAGCTAAGTGGAATGTAATCCACATTGCCAAAGCACATCAGCTAAAGTTGTGATTTGGGAAACAAAACCAAATGAGGTATCTCATACAGCTGCATAATGTCTTTGAGGTGCAGATCTGCTGGCTGCACACAAACCAGTGCAGTCCTTTTGCCATGGAAATGGCACCCTGGTTCCTAATCCTTGCACCTTGGCCAATGAGGGAAGTGAGAAAGACACAGGAGAGAGTCAGTCTCATGAACCAGAAATGAGCTGCCAGTGTTTAATGGTGAAGATAACTATTGCAGTTAACTTACCTAGGGAATATACCTGTACATCAGATCACAGAGTGTGATCTGAAATCTGTCTGAATCTAGATTGGATGCCTTTCAAAAGAAGGTATTTTGGCTGAACTGCCAGTCCTCGGGTTTCATACAGGAACACAAAATGTCCTGGCCTGTGCTGGACGTGATGTCAGACCAGCTCAAGGGGGGGGACAGTTTCTCTAATGCAGCTCCTCTTCTGACATTGTGCTGTTCTCCAGGCCACCCCAGGGAGCTGGTGATGCAGTTCCTGCCCCCTATGCCCCCTATGCCCCTGGGGTGCTGACCAGTCAGCCTTCACATCATTCATGGGCAGCTCCCTCACAGTTCCTGCTCAGTTATCTGAGAGATAATGTCCATCCTGGTCCCCTGTGACCTTAGCACCTTGGGAACCCCACAAAGAGGAGAAAAACAAATGAAACATTTTCATCCTGTCCTCCCAGGAGGTTCCAGAGCTTTGGACATCTGTAGCAGCATAAATGGTGGTGGGGAAAAAGGCAGTGATGATCCAGTCCATGTGTTGGGAGCCTTCCTGTGTCTCCTGGCCAGTGCTGGCAGAAGTTGCTCTCATTAACAGTGTCAGGAAGGCACCAGTGCGACTGTGCTGACAGTGAGCAGCTGTTGTGGTGCTGTCCTCAAGGGATGGGGTGCCTGCAATCTGAGATTCTCCCTTTTTCTGCACAGAAGTCATTTCCCAAAGTATTTACCGTGGTTTTGATCTTTGCCCAAAACCAAAATTTCTTTTCTATGGCTGGAACAAAATTTGAATTTGGAAAGAGTGAGACTCTTCACTCACCAGATGAGGTTGTACATATGTAAAACATTGGTATGACTTTCCATTTTTTGTTTGGTTAGAGACAATGATGTTGCTAAAAATTCAGATGTAAGAGTCTTATTTAAGCAATGGGTGTAAGAGGCTGACGTAAATGTAGCTACAAAGTACTATATTTTAATAAACTTGGATAGATGGTAAATAGACAACTTCTAGGATAATATAAACCCTTGCTTTTATGTCCTAAAATATCATGAAGTGGGATTAAAGCTGAATTTGTAATGTTTAGCTGAAATTTTAACCTTTCTTTTCCTAGTTTTAAAAAATGTATAGTAGCCTTCTTTTAATGTTGCAGCAATAGTTTGTAGCACAGAAATAAACATGCTGGCCATGAGAGTTGGAGTGGTGCATGGCTGACTGGAAATCTGCCTTCACATCTCCTCTCCAGGACACTGTCCCCATGCCAGTGTCAGCAGTGGCCTCTCCTGTCCCCCAGGCAGTGCAAAAAAAGCCTAAAACTCTGTTTTCATCACACACACAGGGTCTGTTTGAATGGAAAACTTGAGCTGCTGATATTTCCGTGGAGATCAGCTTGGATCCACGATAACACTTCTCAAGGACTCATGTTTTCAGTTTTCTTAGCTATTTTCTGCAACTCCCTAAACAAAAATATCTCTGCTCCAAATTCAGGAAGGTCACTGTCTTCAACCACAAATTTAATTAACAGCTTTCCCCTTCTACGGACTTTTTCATTCCCCTCTTTTTTTAACCCAGTGTCCCACTTTAGGAACCTGTGTTTTCCACTTGAGGGAGTAGATGCTCAGAGGAGTGGCCCCAGGGAAGCTCAGCTCAGTAAGTGATCACCACTGGGAGCCAGGCTTATACACAGCATTACACCATGGAAAGCTTCCCATCTCCTGTTTCAGACAAAATGTCTACAAAAACAATACTACTACTTTGCTAAATTCCTGCATTCTGCAGATGGGAAACTCAATTTCTACAGGGAAAGCCGGGCTGGTCTGGGGCAGCTCACGGTGCTCTGTCTTTTTGCTGCTGCTGCTAATTTTTGTGAGCACCATAGAATACAGTAGAAAATTGAAACTGTGTGAAAGATCAACAAATCAGTGTAGAATGTCACGCAGCAACATCTGTTAACTTTGGCTCTATCTCATATCCTCCTGACCCCCTCCTTCCCAGGCACAATCTCCTGTTTTGTGAGAGCTCTGAGTGATAGGGACTTGGGAGGGGTGTGCAAATGGCTCACTGTTTCTCAGCACTCTGAAGGTCCTGCAGAAGTACCATCTGGAGTCAAAGCTTAATCTTTGTGTATTTCTATATTTTTAGTTATGAAACAAATGGGAATTTGCTGAATGAATTAATTGTATAGCTCTGTAAAAGTCTATCTTGAGAGCCATTATGTATGGGAGTGTACAAAGGCTGTGGAGAGAAAGGAAAGTGGCTTCCCTTTCTAATCAGGGCTTTCAGGAAATCATTGATTACAGAATCAAGTAGGGCTGTTCAGAGACATTTGTTTGATAGTACTTCAGATAAATGAAATTAGTGCCTAATAATAATTTTGCTAGTGACACTGGAAGCAGCTGTACTTTCTAATGGTAAGCTTGCCCTGAAAAAAGCTTCTTCCCCCCTTTTCTTCTTGTCCAAACAATTATAGCTGATGAAACATCACTTGCAATCTGTAAAAAAAATATCTAAATCATGAAGGAGTGGTACAGTGAACAGTATGTTCTTAGTGGGAGGGTTTTTGTCTGGACCAAGGTAATGCTTGTTCTTATACTGCATATAAAAAAGTCAAAACAAAACCTTGACCTTGATTATATGTAGAAATATTTTACTTTTTATTTTTTTTTTCAACAGGGTCAGCATATTTCATTAGCTCCCATTCAAAAGTTAGAGGAAACTTTGTATGAATATCAGCCTCTGCAAGTGGAGACCTATGGACCACAAGTTCCAGAGCTTGAGATGTTGGGAAAGCTGGGGTAAGTAAATCAATGCATTTTAAATCCCATATTATGGCATTGTAGCTGGGATTGTTACCATCTTCAGATTGCCAGGGATCTTTTTTCCTTTTTTATTTTAAGGGATCTTAACGAAATATTAGACTTCCTGCCCAACCAACATTTTGTTTGGGTGGATAAGCAGAAATTTTTGGTCCTCTTGCCTTTATAGATCTATTGAGAGCTGGACTGGATTGCATTAGTGTTTTTAAGGTTGTCCTTGGCAGTCATAGTGAAGTAGCTGTTCATTTTCAGTTGCACGGTATTAAAAAATAAATAAATAAAAATCTGGGGCTTAATTTACCCAGCTGTAAGCCAGTAAAAATATTAAAGTTGGGCTGTTTGCCATGGAAAAGGGTAGATTTACTTGTCGGCTGCTGTCTACAGTCAAACTGTGTTTGTGAGAAATGAAGCACAGAGCTTAACTTTGTCAAAAAATATAATGCAGAGCTGGTCCACAGCTCGGCAGCATTGTGGTGTGCACCCATGTTTGAGAGAAAGGGAGTTTGGGAGCCTTCTGTGCCTGGGTAATTGGGGTTAGGAAGTGCAGGAGTGATGTGTTGGTAGCTGCAATGCCACCTGAAAACTGGAGCTGCTGGGAGAGTGTCACCCAGCTCATCATGGCCTGACCCTCAAGGTCATCAGCACTTGCAGTGCCTGGAAACTGCAGGGCAGAACGAATGTGCAGGCTGGCAAGGCAAGAAAGAGTTTAAAAAAAGAACAGTTTACCTTTGGCTGTGCAATCTGGGAAAACTGAAGCCACAAAGTACTGAACAAAGTTGAGGCAATTGAGTGTGCAGTTTGGGAGACCACTGAAATCCAAACAGGAATCCTATCTAGTTCACTGGCATGGGAGAAGCTGTATCTCATCCAGGAAATGACTGAGGTAGAATAGACTTAGGAAGGTAAATAAGCAACCTAATGGTGCTTCAGAAAACTGAAGTGAGAAGTGACAGTGAAAGCTGTCTGGGAGTGAGGCTGTCTCCATTTTTACTGTTCCTGTGTCCTCCTGATGCCTGTAACTTTTATTATCTTCTGGTTTAAAGGATTTTCTCTGTTAAGTGTTGTGCTGCCCCAGAACTAGTGCCACGAAATGCAATGGACATAGATGACTGTTCCTGATGGATTTGGACACCAGCATTCATGGGACACAGGCAAAAGTATTAATTAGGGGTTTGAACTTGGGCAGAGCCTGGTTCAGCCTTCACCACCTGTTTGGATGGAGCACAGCTGTGAGGGACCTCCAGTGTGAGAGGGGCTTGGAGGCCCCCTCAGCCTCATCACAAACAAGAAAAAGATGCAGGGAGGATTCCTTTTGCCTGTGGCCCATGAATGCTGGTGTCCAAATCCACCAGGAACACTGTCCTCTATGTCCATTGCATTTAGTGGCACCAGGTCTGGGGCAGCCCAACGCTTCACAGAGCAAATCCCTTTAAACCCTGCAGTTGTGTCTGTGTGGGATTCAGAGCAGGGATTGCTAATAATGCCGCAGTCTTCCCTTGGAGACACTTTGGGAAGTGCCATTTTCCTCCTGTGAGCAGGAGCAGCCAGGCTTGTTGGGCTGAGGGGAGTAGGGTGGCTGTGGCAGCAAGGGGAGCTCAGGGCTGGCTGGCTGGGTTGGTGGTGCCCACCAGAACAGTTCCTCTGAGTCCTCAGGCTGTTTGCCATTCCAAAACAAATACATCAATGCTGTGGGTTCCCAGCCAGCACAGCTCTAACCCTATTCCATGGGGTGTCTGAAATACCTCAAGGCGTGCAGGGCTGTTGGTTTATATATTTTTGTTTCTGTGTTTATAGGAGCTCGTGCGCATTTCCTGTTGGTGCTGAATGCTGCACTAATGTGCCTCTGTCCCTGCTTTGGGGCTCTTGAGGCAGCTGCACGCAGCTGCCTGGGTGAGGCAGAAGAGCTGGGCACAATGTAAACCTCTCCAGCTAAAGATTTTTAGTTTCCTGTTCATTTGCACTTATAAAAGGCCAGGCTGGATGGGGCTTTGAGCCACCTGGCCTAGTGGGTGGCATCCCTACCCATAGCCGGGGGGTTGGAACTACATGGTCTTTAAGGTCCCTTCCAACCCAAACCATTCTGTGATTTTGAATGTATTTAGTTGGTTTTATTTATTTTTTAAATTTTAGTTTCTCCCTCTTTTAATTTTCCTGTTAATAACTTTTAGCCTGACAATTATTGCTGCTCAATAGTTCCCTCAAATGTGCAGGCTGTTATCTGAGTTTCTGGAGCCAGAACTATTGCAAAGACAATTGTCAAACTATGACTTTTGAATTCACTAATTTATAATTTATTGGCTTGTTTTTCTTAGTGATACATTTTTTAATCTTCAAAACACTCAGCAGAATGAATTTTTTGAATATTCCTTACCATCTTACCTTCTGCAAGACCTGCTTTTGGTTTCAGCATTTTTTTTTCCTTAGTGAGTTGCTGTAATGAAGGACACAGCTGGCAAGAAGGTTTCAGCAAAGGGCAACAAAAAGGATGAATACTTACAGGGTCATGTAGAACATTCGTAAGGAATCTTGTATAATTAAAAAAAAATGCTTTTTAAGATGACTTGCATTATTTGCTTATTAGGCTTTTCAAAGAACTTAATGAGCTGACCATAAACTTGATTTTGCATTTTTCCACTGTTCTTCTGCGTGGAGTTTGCATATTTTGCAAAAAAGGAAATTTATGTCCAAATTGTTCTTGCAAATTTGTTTTCAGTTTCCCCTGGGGATGTAAATTTTCTTTTTTTTTCTTAAGCACTGCAGAAAAGCATTAACATCCTTGTGCGTTTTTTTTTTTTTTTTTTTGTTAGGGTGTTGGAAATCTGAGAATAATAAAGATTTAGGATTTTTTTTCCCCCCAACACAAATGATTGGTGCAATGTGCAGGGGTTTGTGTCCTTCAGCCCCCCATGAAGGTCACTTTGGCTGTTGAGACTCGAGGACCAGCTCATGGCTGTCTCAGCTGTCACATGGAAACGTGACTTGGAAAAGGGGAGAGGATGCGTGAGAGCATCTCCCAAACATGTGGTGCTGCCCTAGGAGGAAAACGGGCTCTTGGATCACTGGAACATGCCCATCCTGGGGCTGGCTCCTGCAGCTGCCTGTCCCTCCCCAGTGACTTACAGTCCTGGCTCTGGGTGCCTTTGTCACTGCCCTGAATTACTGAAATGCACTGGGAAATTGTTGCTCTGTGCATGGAGCTGGGGGCAACTGCTGATGTGTTTGAGAGAGATCCCTGCCTTATCAAGGGCTCTGCTGGCACTTGTGCTGTCACCACAAACTCCAAGTTTGGACTGAAGTGGGAAGTGTCACCTTTTGGTTCAAATCTGTTGAGTTGCATTTTGGGGAGCAGAGGTGTGTGGCTGCAACAGAACACTTGGGCACTTGCTTTACTTGGAGGTTTTCTTAGATGGGCAAAAAAGTTCTGTCTCTTTTCATTTTATTTATTTTTTTTTCTTCCTGATGTTTTAGCTGAGCATGCTGAATTTGTGTGGTTGGAGGTCTGCATTTTTCTTACTGGAAAACAAAAGAAATGAAAAATATAACAAACTGACATTCCAAGTAGTGAAAGAATAACACAGGATGGGGATGGAAAGTAGTGTGTTTCTTTAAAAATGTATGTTTGATGTGTAGTTTTGATTCTAAAGGAAAAACAAAACAAAAAAGCCCCTGAGGATCCAAATGATGTTTTTTTGGCGGTCCTGAAGAATGTAAAGACATTCCTGGCAGTAATTATAAGTGTGTCTAACAGGAGTGGCCACACAGCAGCTACCAAATTTTACAGCTGTGAAGAGACAGACACAGGCTACTTAAAAATTGACTATAAATTGAAAATCTGCTTATGTGATTAGCATTTTGGGTAAAGATATGTAAACTTCATGACTCAAGGTTTAGAAACCTTGTAATCTAAAGTGGATCATACTCAACACAGTGCCAGTCATATCCTCACCATTCTCATAAAATTGAGGTAGTTTACAAGTCAGGTTAAAAATTTCTCTTTGCAGCAGACCTTGTAATCAAGTCAAGCCTGGTCTGCTTAAAATAAAATTGTGTTTGCCTACTTAGCTTTGAGGAGATCCAAGCTGAATATATATATATGTGTGTATATTAAAAAAATCTTTTTTGGGGGGAAAAATGTGACTTCTCTTTGATCTATCTACTTGTTTTCATGCATAATCACATTGTAAGGAACACCCTGGTTAATGTTTTGTTTAAATAAAACGCAGAAAATAAGTTTAATAGTGAACACTAATGAGGATAGGTAATATATTTTGATAAATTAAAAGTTAAATCTAAACAGGTCATAATTTTAAGAGTTGAGGGGTAAGTACTGAAGCGCAGAGTGGGAGTGCTGTGAAAATCTCTCCATACAATGAACATGTTTTAGCCCACTGGGCTTTTTCTTATGAACAACTGGATTGATTCATTCCTTTTTTCCTAGTGTAGGACAGCTCAGGCATTTTAAATTTCGCATTAAGATGAGGTTGGGTTTCATATCTGTTAGAGCTTTGTTAGTGTTTAATTTTTAACCTTCACTCCAAGTGGAAAATTTCTGCATATTTCTTTGTTGTACAGTGTTGTATGTAATTTGAAACACATGTAGAGCTCTGGCACTTAATCTAGAAATGAGTCGTGTAACTTCTTTGCTGTCAGTCATTGTGATATTTTTTTTTTTAAGTGAGGCAATAGTCAGTATGGTCTCTAAACTATTCCTACAGCATAGCTGAGCTGGTCTTTGGCTGGATTAGCTTCTGCTAGAACCCTGTCAGTGTCTGTGTAGGGTTGGAGGCAGTGAAATAACTGAGAATTGATTTTGAATGGGTGACAGGATCACTGGGCTTTAAAAGTCCATAGCAGGTGATTTTTCACATCTGCTCTGTCACTGGGGTATGCAGATATTTCTTGAATCTTGGAAAAGGAGAAAAGCCACAAATGAAGGGCTGATTTGATCTGCTTTGGCCCATTGGTTTTGAACACTGAATTCATTCTGTTACTTTTAATG